ATGGGAAATCTTAAAAGTCTATCTAAGGGGACAGTACACTGCATACATCAAAGTGCCAGGAAACCAATGGAACACCAAACTGAAAGACATTGAATTTGAAATTTTGAGAAAATGTACCAGAAAAAACATCAAATGCCTTGTTGTCACGTGTCTGTCCTGTCTTGTATGGGCTATATGCACGCATAACTTCCGCGTTTGATGCAAGGATGCTCTTGCGTTTCCGGTTGGGGAGATTTAAAGCGGAGGAAAACCGAGGAAAACGGGATTATGGCAGAGTCTTCAAAATGTACTGTCCTCTCGTCTTTGAAACGAAACTTTAATACGTTTAGATGTAATTTTATATATAGTTATGTTTATTTAATATAATAAACAAAGAAGCATAAACAAAACGAGGGGTGTCTGTTTTGTCTGTTTTTGTGACTAACGTTTCTTTAGTATAGCAATAGAGTATAAAAACCAATATAAATTCTCGGTATAGCATTGGACTCTACGATCGGCGGAAGTAATCCAGCATCCTTAGACCTTCACCGGAAATACCGCCGTGCATAGAGCCCATTGCACTTGGGTGTCTTTGTTATGTTGGGCCATGTGCTCTCGTTATTGTTTGATCCCTCCCCCTTGTTACCTGATTAGTGTTTGAGTTTTTCCACCTGTTCCCTCTTGATTTGTTCCCTTTTTAAGTCTCCTCTTGTTTGCAGTCTTTGTCGGATCGTTGTCATATGTTTTCCCAGTCTCCGTGTGATGGTCTTCGTGTTCAGAGTCAGTGTTTGTTCTTCAAGTTCAGTTCAGTTTTGTTTAGTGATGGCAAGATGAGGCTTCCTGAACCACTGAGACCTCGCAGCCCATTGCTTCAACCAAAGGTTCATTACTCGAAGCTTCATTCAGCATTCCTCACTAGTGACACCTAGCTACTGTGCAAAGAAATTGCAGGCAAATTAATTCATTCTGAACCAATGACCCGCCCCCCTCCCGCAATGTTTTATTTATTTATCTTCTTCTAAATATGAGTTAATGTCTCTGTAACCTTTCATTTGCAATAATAAATAGATCTGTGCAGACATTTGTCCATTGCCTGGGTATGAAATAAAACGTGTAGGCCTATATTTCTCTGTCTGCATTTACTTGTACAGAGACAACTGTCACACACACAGTTAATTAATTATTCCAAAAAATATTGGATAGGGACAGTATGAACAAAAAAAGTGACTGTGTTGAGTGCAGTGCTTATGGTGGAGGGACTCGAGGAAGTGTAATAAAGTAAACTGCAGTAAACACCACAGATTGGGGTGGATGATGGAAGGATTGCAATAGATTTTTATTGAGAAAATTAATTTTTTGAAGTGTGTTGGGGTTTAGACAATTCCTCTTCTTGGACAAAACCTCACCAGCCTTGGAAAAATATCCTTTCACAAGGAACAGAGGAACATAAAATGTCAGTGCCAGCGGGTATAAATGAAAATATTGATGCTTCTGTTGAGCCCAGACAGGGGAGGATTTCCTCTTTCTTCCTGGCTCCATTACCATAAAAAAGGAAGATCTCATAAAAAGCAAACAAATCCAAAAGGGCAATCCAAATTAAAAAGCAGTCCAGTCCAGATCCAAAAATCTAAGCTACCAAAAATCCAAAGCAATCCAAATAATCTTATCTAATTAATATAACAAGACTATAATATAGCTACTATAATTAATAATAACAATTATTCATTATTATTAATAACTATTCTAACCTGATATAATGTAATAATATACAGCCCTAACACATATGACACAATAACAACAATGAGAGTTCTCTAACTCTGACTCTCTGACACGCTACAAGTGCTTACTACTCCTGCAACACCCACAAGGTGGTGCGAGTTTCGAACCCCCTTTATCCAGAAGCGACACTCAGACCGAACCGATGACGTATCCACACAAACCGAGGCCTCGTTTGTCATCAGTCACGTGATGTTCACGTTAACAACACAAGCCTCGAATCGCGGCTTCATCTGGCACGCCCATTTTTTCTCGACACAAGCTCCGATGCCTCGGTTCAAATGTCACATCACTAGTTTTGTTTAATGTCTCATTTATTGTGTTTTCCCCCTTGTGAGTTTTTGCTTTGTGTTTTGTTTTCTTTTGTTAATAAATCATCCGTTGCTGCATTTGAGTCCTCCTCTCCACTTTTTGTAACTGTAACGGGACACTTGTATAGAAATCTAATCAACAAGAAAAGGGATTATAACACACTACATATCAGGCAGAGAGGGCCATCATAAGATCAAAGCAACGTTACTATGACCTTGGGGAGAAAGCCTTAAAGGGATGCTCCACCCAAAAATGAAAATTCTGTCATAATTTACCCACCCTCAAGTTGTTGCAAACCTGTATGAGTTTCTTTCTTCTGCTGAACACAAAGGAAGATATTTTGAAGAATGATTGGAACCAAACGGTTATTTGGCACCATTGACTTCCATAGTAGAAAAAAATATAAGTCAATGGTGCCAAAGTTCCTATCGTTCTTCAAAATATCTTCCTTTGTGTTCAGCAGAAGAAAGAAACTCATACAGGTTTGCAACAACTTGAGGGTGAGTAAATTATGACAGAATTTTCATTTTTGTGTGGAGTATCCCTTTAAAGTGGACCAAAACAGGCAAATGATAAATTCCATAGATATTGGTAATAACATTTCCTATAACCCTATAGAGAGTTTTATAGAGAACTTTGCACATCCCAAGTGAGAGAAGATGTGTCCCAAATGGAAGCTCTTATCTCCTCTGTTGACATACCATTCTTATCTGAAGAAAATAGACATAGCTTGGATAAACCATTTTCTGTTTCCAAACTGAAATAAGCTATACAATTATTGCGTAATAAATCACATGGGGAGAATGGCTTTCCCCCTGAATTTTACAATAAATTTAGAGATTAGCTTAATCTCACTTCTCAATACGGACTATAAAATAGTAACTAAAATGATAGCTAGGAGACTAGAAAATGTCCGACCTATATTGGTGAAACCAGACCAAACAGGCTTCGTTAATAGGTTGTCCTCAGGCTTTTTAATATAATACATACTTATGATTTCCTGCATTTGTCTGCGATTTCGCAAAACCTGTTGGCGAGTGAAAATCGTGCAATGTGAACTCGGCATTACCTTGATCTTCAAATTCAAAAAGTTTTCCCCCCCCTCGGCTCTGATACTGTTATTCCAGATATACTGTGGTTATCAGAGGATAATAATTGTATTTAGAAAAGCTAACATACTGGTTAAGAAATAAAAGCAAAACATTTTACAGAGTTTGGGAACCCTTCCTTGTTTATATGGAAAAAATTTCTATAGACCAGATATAGCTAAGTTTTTTCAATACATTGACATTGCACTGTATTGTCTTTTTGTCTTATACCATTTTATTATTACCCTGTGTCATCTTGGCTATTTGCTTATAGATGCCACACCTTTGTAACACCTTTGTATTTTTATTTATCTATTTTCCTTTCTGTCTAGTCCTGTGTCTTTTTCTTTGCCTTGTTTAGTGTGATGTATAACCGTTCAGAGCAACAAAAAAAAAGGGGGGGGGGGGGAGAGGGGGGGGGGGTTTACACTGTATAAGGCACTGTGAAAATACCCATTTTTAACATTTTGTACTGTACCAATTTTTGTTTAATGGAACCATGAACTTGACATATTGGACAATACAGATGAATCCATAGCGAAGTCCTGCTATGAACCCTCAGCCCATTTCTTGCGTCTCTTGGTCTTGTTCAATTTGACACGGAGATGATGAAATGCAAAGTTTTAATAATGTTTTTACTGCATTCATTTTTGGTACAGGATGGCTCTTTCTGTACTGTCAAGTCTAAGGATCAATTGAAAATTTGATCATATTCAATGCACACTGAAAATGACAGAATCAGCACTGTATAGACACAATGCTATACAGACAGGTTAATGAAGCATCATGTCATTTAAGGTGGAATGAAAGGCTTGAATAGCTATAAGTAGCTGGATTAAGCCTTGTGAGAGCATGTGTTGAAAGGTCAATGTCAGCTTGAATCATGGAACGAAGTTCAACGAACACATGTTTGTTTTGACGTGCATCATAATCCACATCTGTGTTTGTTTTTTGACCTTTGATCACATTTCTCAAAAGACTTTTTCTCAATCCTACTGGAGGTCCCCATTCCTATACATTTTTATGTCTGCTATGACGTGAGCTTTTTTTAGATAGGAAAGAAATTCTCATTCATCTGTTATATTATATTATCAAAAAGTATATTCATTAAATAATAATATATATATTAACAAATATTTGCATAAACATGGTAACATTAGGAACTGTATCTAAAATGTATTGGCGGGTATATGAATTTAACACTGGAAAAAAATGACATTTATTTCTTTTAATTGATATTGTTTGCTGGAATCTGGCATGCACCAGTGACAGGGCGACACACAGGAAAATGCATAATTTAGATCAGTTTATTGTTGAATATCAGGTCCTCTCAAAGTAAATGTCAATTTGATCAAATACTGTATGTCTAAGGCTTTAATCACCATGAAATCAAAATTAAAAAATATATATATATATATGTAATATTGCAGTATGTATTATAAATTATTTATCTGTGCACATCTTTTTTTTTATTTAAATAATGTGCCTTTGTAAATTTTAATCAAAATAACTTCTCTTTTCTGATGAGATGTTTATGATGACATGAGATCACTGCAATAGCAAACCACAACCATCCAACGATCCACTAAATGTTTTCTTGCTTGAGAACCCTTTTCACTCGGATACATACATCACAATAGGGACTATAGAACAATAAGCTTAGGAGAATGTATTTTAACATAAAAGTCTTACAGACTTCACCTTTAATTTTATATGCAGGGTTACATTTGAACTTGATCACGTCTAATGGTGCAACACTTAAATATTTAGCATTTCATAAATTGAAGATTGCAGTCTCCCAGGAGAGAGGGTTTCTTCACCATGGCCTGAAATGGGTCTGTCAGATATGAAGATATAAAAATGCGCAGTTTTAGAGGAGCAGGGCTGTGAAACGCACTGTTTTAACCGATTCAAACAAATGCAAGGATTCAGGCAATACAGCATGTCGTTCATCCAGAAGATTAGATTTTTCCTTAAGCGGCAGATTTCTAGAGTTCAGGTGTCTTTGAGTGGATTTCTATGGCGGCCGCGGACACGTGAGTAAGTTGGAGCCAGCTGTGAAGTTTTGTAAAAATTAACTGCTGTTGTTTCCACTGTGCTCTTTCTTTAGCTCACCTGCTGTCATGCTTTCCAGAGCGGCCCCCATGGCTGGGGTCACTGCGCACAAGATCAGTAAACACATCACCTTCTTCGCCAGTGACGTCGATGGGACTCCTACGGCTAGCTTTTCACCTGGTCACCCTAAACCTATATTGCTGTTACTGCCGTGGCTGGGCTCCAGACCGCAAGCCATTGCCAAGTACTGTGAGATTTACTTTCGCACAGGCTTTGATGTACTCGTTGTGGAAAGCGAAGTGAGCCAGTTCTTGTGGCCCCGTTGGGGGTTGGAGTACAGTGGCCGTGTGCTGGAATTATTAGAAAGCGAGCGCTTCTCACAGCGCCCCCTACTGGTCCATGCTTTCTCCATAGGGGGATATACGTTTTCTCAGGTGCTTGTGCATGTGGCCAAAGATACCCAGCGTTACCAAGGCCTGACAAATAGGATCAGGGGTCATATCTACGACAGCCTGGTCACGGGATCACTGGACCATATGGCCAACGGTATGTACAGAGATTGCAATGTAAAGTATGTTCATATATAATCCTTTCAGTCTGCACTGCTAACACTTTGCGTTTGGGGTGGATGGTATGATCAGAATTAGGGCTGGGCGGTATGACGGTATATATCCTTACCGCGGTAGAAAATGTCAACCGTAACAGATTTTTTTAGTCCGTGTATACCGTGACATGTAAATAAGTGGGCGTGGTTAACTCCTGTGCAGCGTGCGTGAGACTGAAACACTGAGAATTGTCAAAGAAACATGGAGAAAGCAGATCAAGAGGATCCACAAAGGAATTACGTTTTCTAAAGCGTTGTTGTTAAGGTGATATTTTCGGGGGGAAAGGCGCAGCAGTCAACTAGAGCAGTGCAGCACCCGTAGAGTTTAGAGGAGTGCACGTTCCCAACGGGGAAAGCATGAAGCTTACTTGATAACAACATTTCATATATCAATATCGTAACGAATAACCTTAACTTAAATAACCTTAAATAATGTATAGTTATCTCCATCTTTCCATCTCTTATGTATAGTTACTTTTTAAACTCGAAAATCGCATTCAGCATGACATGCAAGCGGTTGCCGTGGTAATAAACAACCTGCTTGTTAAAGCGAATGTATAATCCTGTATCTGAGGCAAAATTACTAAATATGCAGCGAGTTATATATTTCTAACTCCAAACAATTGGCCACTGAACCAGCTGATAAAATCTTCCTTTGATTCGATCCGTGATTACAACTTGACACAAATTAACCGATCGCATTTTACTGATGCAAAAGATCAGCACTGCACTGAGAGGGAGCGCGGTGTTCACCTGGCTATGGTCAAATAATGACGCAGTTACAAGGTGTGTATAATTTAAACTCACTAACAATATATTTAACAATACTAAACAGTATAATTAGTCAACACTAACAGTAGCTGCTGTTCGGTTTCCATACTGCTGCTCTCCTTCTAGTCACTTCTGAACTTGATGAACTTGACACTTCTGAACTCCTCTTGATTAAAGCTCAGGGTGACGGGTTGCCAGATATCACAAAAAGAGCTAAACAAGCCCCATAAAAACGCAGTATAATAAGCAGACATGGCAAAAATGTACAGGGGAACAGGAACACATTTAAACATAACTAGTATTACTAATATCCTACAAAATTAAAAGGAAGTAACTAATTTATTATGAATAGAATAGTTCAATATAAAATATTCATATATTATAAACTGATTGATGAAGTAAAGCAATGCATGAGATTGAAAAATTATTCAGCAACACTTTATTTAAAGTTTAATTGCACCTATGAGTTGTATTTAATATCAATCAGTTGTGGGCAGTTCATTTAAAAGTTTATGAGTGTTTTGTTTACTATATTTAGCTATCAAAATAGTTAACCAAAGAAATAATTTACCAAATAAAAGAAAAAGAAAAATCAAACAAGGTGAAGTACTTCATTTCTAAAGTATTTGGGTTTATTTATTATACAAAGCCCTTTTTGTCGATTTTTCGAGAATAACTACATATACTGTATAAATAACTATATCGTGAAATATATCGTTACCGTGAAATAAAATTAATCATACCGTGAAACACAATTTTGGTCATACCGCCCACCCCTAATCAGAATCTTGCATCATGTTATGACTATTTTTATATTATGTATATTTTATATTATTTGTGCTGTAAATTCAAGTGGTAATGTTAAACATTCAAACTCTACAGTTGTACAAACAAATCTTTCACTTTTATTTCATGTATAATAAATGACATAATAGCTACATAAATGCATGGTATCTACTACAATATTACAGATGTGTAAGGAATCTGCTTGGGTCTGATCAATGGGGAATTTGCATGTCATAATTAATAATTAATAACTAATAATTATTCATACAGATTTGGATCAGCCCGGTCTTACCTGTTAATAAATCTCCCATTAAGGGAGGCTTTGTCATTTTACCTGCGCAGGTGTATCCCCACAATTAATCACAAATGAATTGTAACTAATTATACAAACCACGTTTTACAAGACAGGTAAAATTAATTAGCTCAATTAATTTATAGAGTTGTGAAAACAAATTCTGTGGCCACAAGAATTAGCTTTCTTGCTCTATAAAGTTTACACATACCCGTCTGAGGTATTTCTGTAAAGAGCACGTAACGTTATCGAAGCATATCAGTGACTTGGGTTATGAGCAACAGGCAATGAGTCAATCAAAAGGATATAATGTATTTAATGAAGCTGAACTACTTAAGCATTTTCTACAATGATACATGTATTTACAAACATTAAACACAAACTAAGACGACGCGGGGCGTTTAGACAATTGGTATGTAAACACGAGTTGGAGAGAGAGAGAGAAAGGGAGAAAGTTGGTGAGAGAGCGAGGGAGAGAGACAGAGCTGGTAAATTGTAAACCTCGACATCAACCTTCTGAAACAACACGAAAACACCATTGTAAGGCTTCTTAGAAGCTGTAACGGGAATGATACTTGCAAGGAATATGAGTTCTGTGTGTGTCGCGGGCTCCTTGCGCGGTCCGGTCGGCCCGCATGTTGAACGAAGGTCCTGTCCTGCTTGCGCGCGTCGTGTGGAGCGCAGCCGCAGCGTTTTTGCACGGCCCGTCCCGGCGCGTGCATGGTTGGCCGCTTGCGCGTGGCCCCTTTGTTCCATGGGGGATCACGTGGCGTTCGTTGGCATTCGGGGCGAGTGTTTGAAAGGCTTAAAGTCTTTGAGGTGACGTTACCCGAGGAAATAGTTCGGCAAAGTCCATTTCCTTTCCTGGGAGACGAACTCGGGAGTAAGTTAAAGAAGAGACGAACTTTAGACGAACAAAAGAAAAGATCCATGGTGGGATCAGATCTCCATGAGGAGATCGCTTGCATCACATGTTTCTCTGAGACGGTCAGACTGCAAGAGGACGTCCAGAGGGAGGTTCAGTCCTCTTTAGGGGAACTGGAGTCCACACCTCTGAGGTGCGAAATGGCCAATGACATTCAACAGAACTTTTGGCGGCCAAATTCTCTTTGTCTTGTCAAAGTTGAACTATGGCCGTGTCCGCCTCTTTTATGACCAGTCAGAATTTGTCAGAATCATTCCACAAGATGATAAAAACATAGAAAACATACATTTTACTGTAATCTTCTGTATCTGACCAAATCAGTTGGAACGAGATAGTTAAAACGGTACCAAACACAACATTTACACATAATTGGAATATGAAGATACATCTTAATACATAATACACACTCTCAAGAGTTTCACTGATACGCTAGGAGATCATTTCTAAACTACCATGGACTGGGAAACACACAGACATACAGGAATATATCGTATACAATTGGTAATGGCTCGTTTTATGCGTGTAATGTGTCAGAGTTCTGTTATCTCTCTTGCAGAGATGGGGGAAGGGCAAGGAATGTCTCAAGCATTTTATGACTCTGGCCATTCCTGAGACAGAGTGTGTGTGTGTGTGTGTTGCATTCAGTCTTTTTGGGTCTTTAGCAAGATGTATTTAGTTATTCAGATTCACCCTTTTTGCCCAGTCCTTACAGTCCCCCTTTTTGTCTGATGAAGTCCCTGTGTGGACTTAATCGGACAACAATCATCACAATGGACGGATGGCGGGTGAATCATGACTCATGCAGCAGGTGGTTATTAGGGCTGAGGATTCAGCTCTATGAGGTTCGAAGCTGCCTCTGGCCTGGTCTCTGACTTGGCACCCCCTTTTTGCGGGTTTCGTCCGAAACCTTTCGTGAGCTTGGCTGAAGATGTTTGTATCTCGTTGAGTCTCCTGTATAGGATGAAGGTCAAGCCCAGTGTCAGGGTGTGTCTGACTACCATAGAGGTACACCGTGCAGTGTCGGCTGCGGTCCAGGCTTGGACAACAGGTGGGGTAGTCAGAATGGGTAGTCGAGACACAGCTTGGAGAGCTGTGTCGATAGGAGCAATGTCAATTAGCTGGGATCACCCCCCCTTTCGCAAACCACAACTCCCGTTCTGGAGTTAGAGTGAGTGTGGTACCTGGAGAAGGATGGGATTTCCAGTTTTAATTTGTACTCTTTGCATGGAAGATGGTACCATGCCAGGTCGTCAAGGTGAAGGATGGCACTTTCCGGTGCTTGGATTCACAGGCTCTAGTGGAGCGAGGTGACACAGGTGTCGGTGTCATTCTGGTCGTAAGTGAGTGCAGCTGTGCGCACAGGAGTGTTAGCGAGCCGCCTGTCACTTACACTCTCTGCTTGGGTCTTGATGCCTTGAGTGCGTAGCTTGGCTTCGGCAGGGCAGCGGGTGTCGCTGATCTGCAGCCCGCAGCTTCCGTCAGTGTTGTCTCTGAGGAGAGGCTTGTTAGGGCAGAGATAGTGAATTTCTTTGGTCAATGTGCACACGTACGGGTTCGGAGCTTAGGACGGCTTTGTGTTGCCGTCGTTGCCGTCAACCCCGTCCGGCGTGTGGATCTTGATGTGAATGTTACTTTTCAAAATCTGACCTTGACAATGTTCTTGAGCCGGTAGATTCGGCTTGACTCTATGATGGGCAAGTTCAAGAGAAAACCCCCCAACTTCTCTGCTTGTAGTCGGCGCAGAGAGGGATGGCACTACCCAGAGAGTAGGAAAGGTGTATTTGTACTCGTGGCGTGGTGATGGCGGACGCCAGCACGGTTTTCACGAGGCTTAAGGGTATCAGGTGCGGTGGAATTCTACCCCTGACGAGGCTGTCGATGGAGGAGTTCACCCCCTGCAGCAGGTTTGTCATCAGGGCTGTTACCAGCTGAGTTTGAGCACAGTCATTCACAGTTCCCTTCAGTGTCTTGTCGATGGTCTGCAGGGATGCACTCTGTTGTGAGTGCTCGTGACAGTCATTTTCTCAAGTTGCTTGAGCATGTGTTCAACCACGGTCTCAGCGTGAGTGCGGGAGTCCTTTGTCCATCGGCACCTACCCAGCTGTATTGTGTTGTTACGCTGGGGTAGTGTGTTCTGTAGGCGTTGTAAGGATCAGGTGGCACATTCA